TTTAAAATTAGGTTTCTATTTTGTTCTGCCACCTAAGAGCTCGAGGTGGTATTCACAATCCCTTTCCTTTTACCTGAAGAACCAACCCTGTAAGGTAGGCCCAAGCCTGTCCAGTGAGTTTCATGGGCAGGTATTTGAGCCTGGATTTTCCCGAGAGAGGTGGCTCAAGTGGTTAAGACGCTGAACTGCAGGCTGTGGAAGGTCAAACCAACCCTGTAAGGTAGGCCCCAAGCCTGTCCAGTGAGTTTCATGGGCGGGTATTTGAGCCTGGATTTTCCCATTCTCTACTACACCATGAACGTATGCCAAGATTGTACTTCCTTATGATTCTCCACTATGTGGCCGCTGAAGTCTTAGTAGCTTAAGGGATGACTGAGGAAAGTTTCCAGTGGTTCAGAAGTTCCCATGAAACACCTCAGGAGCAGTGTTCCCCCTAAGCTGAGTTAGTGTGAGCTAGCTCACACCATGAAGGTATGCCAAGATTGTACTGCCTTATGATTCTCCACTATGTGGCCGCTGAAGTCTTAGTAGCTTAAGGGATAACTGAGGAAAATTTCCAGTGGTTCAGAAGTTCCCATGAAACACCTCAGGAGCATCTTGCCCCCGTCTGAGATCAGCAAAAATGAAAATTATGCAGAACAGGAATGAAAAACTCTGAATAAATTATGCAAAATAGTAAAGACACATTTTTCCCCTTAATTCATAATAATTCAGAAAGGCCAACATTAATTAAAAAAAAAATAGAGTGGACTCATGTGTTCGAAGCTGCCTTATACTGAATCAGACCCTCGGTCCGTCAAGGTCAGTAATGTCTACTCAGACTGGCAGTGGCTCTTCAGGGTCTCAGGAAGAATCTTACATCACCTACTGCACCGTTCTTCTAACTGGAAATGCCAAGTTTTGAACTGGGGGCCTTCTGCATGCCAACAAGATGCTTTACCGCTGAGCCACGGGCCCTTCCCCATATTTCTTTTTTGCCTTGCCAATTTCTCCAGCTTATGCTAGCAAAGTCCAGTCCACTTACCAGTGACTCTGCAAGATATATTTCTACAGTTCTTCTATACACATGCGACTTGACTCACTTGCCAGAGATACCTGAAGCCAGTGGCTTGGCAAATATTTTTTACTACCTCAGATTCGGCTCCTTTCACTCTCAACACGTCATGGCTCTGACGGCTTCTGTGGAATAATAATTGGCACGAGGCCTGATATATGAAGCAAACCGCTCGGGGTGGGGGGAGAGGGGCCTGCTAACGTTGACTCTCCATTCCCTTGCAGTTCCTTGAAAGGAACCTGCAGGGCAGAGACGGCTCACGACAGGCATTCGATAAGCCCCGAAAAAGGAAAACAAGTGTTTTTCTTTAATTCCTCCCCCCTCCCTCCGTTGTTGTCATCGTCATTTGTTCCAAAAACACACACACACACACGTGCTAAGACTCATTAGAATTCACCCCAAAACAAAAGCCATTTCCATACACCCCTCCCTTCTCCTGACAGAAACACTTGTCTAATTAATGGCGCCTGGCAGCGTCCTCCGTTCAATAGCACATTAGCGTTCATAATTGTTCCTTTAGAGCCGGACGGGCTCGGCGTTCCAAGCCATTTGGCAGGAGCCGCGACGGCGGCGGTAATGAGAAACGACTCCGCGCCTCTCCTCCGGAATACTAAGAGAGGTCCCTAAACAGATACAGAGAACGGGGCAGGGCGGGAGCGAGAAAGATCCGTTTGCCCTCATCGCCCCCGTCTTCACGACCTGCGGCCCTCAATAGGCCCTCCATCGTGGACACATTCCCCCGTGCCACCGCTGTCCCCGTGCAAAGCAAACAAGAGCTGATGGATGAGGTAGGACAGAGGCACTGGCTGGATGAGACCGCGTATTTTCAATAAATGTGAGCCGAGGAGAACTTCCCGAGCCGCCCACCCAGGTGGGCTCGTCGAGAACAATCCCAAGAGAAGTGGGCAGGATGTGGGGACTGAGAACATGGCCGCCCTGCCGTGGGGAGACTGAGAACATGGCCAACCCACCGCAGGAGGAATGAGAACATGGCCGCCCCGCCGTCTGTCTCAATGGGGTCCTCTGTCTGAGGGGATGAAGAAACCCTCAGGGTATCCGCCACCGAGCAATAACATCGCTGAACCCTTAAACATGTTCCACGACAATAAAAAGGCTTTCATGTGGACTCTTCGGCCGCATCAATATTCCTGTCTCCCTCGGCCTCCTTCTTCCCCACCGTTGGCAGCAACAGTCAAGGGGATGTTTTCTTATGTCTTAAAAGGCTGCCTTTGCCTGCTGTGTGTGTGTGGCCCAGGGCTCCCGATGTGGCAGGGCTTAGTGGCGATATTTCATCTAGGCCTCGGTTACCGTGGTAACCAACCATTAGGGGTGTGCAATTTTTAATCAGCATTTTTCCCCCGGTTCGGGTCTATTGGACCCAAAACATTTTCAGGAAAATCCCAGATCCCAAGACCGGCATGGTATTCGGATCCGGG